CTGCAGATGGCTCAGCAGTGGGTGGCATTAACATATTCAGGCCTCTCTGGCATACAGGTGGCCTGTATTGTCCTTTCCTCTGTCCCTCTTTGCCAGCAGACAGCCTTGTATTTTGTCACTGACTGTCAAACAAGGTGAACAACTCATGCTTGCTGTCATACAAAATACATCTGGCTGACTCCCAGTGGGCTTACACACCTTCATGGAGAAAAACAGTCAAGTCCTTTTGATGTCACTAACTTTTGCAGTGGTACCAGAGGAAAAATGTGTCAAGTAACAGCAGAATTAAAATACCAAGGCTGTTCAGACAGTTTGCTGATGTGATCTTTGTTTGCTATCCAGAGTCACAGTCTGAACACACACAATGTCACTTTCAAGGGGCATCTCTGATGTTGGTGCAGCATGGAAAGCAACTGTGTGCTCTACATGCACTTAGACTTGGACGGCACAAATGACACAGATGACATCAAGATTGACTGCACTTTAGTAAGACCAATGATATCATGCCACAATTTTTCAGGGAAGTTTTGAGAAAAAAATCTAAGCCCTAGAAAAGAAAGAACAGGAAGGTATGCCAACGGGAGAGAAATACAAGGTAATGCTGTTAGTTAACTCAGCTTTTCTGGAAAAGTTAGAAGAAAATATAGAGAAGATGTTGATAATTTTACAGAGGTGTGGAAGGAACCTTCTATTGCAAGCAGAATGTCATATAATCCATGATAAAATCTTGAAAAAGAACAGACTAAAGGGTCTCTATTCTTCACTGTGCCACTTGCATAGCTGCTGCAAGTACTTGCCACTAATGCTCTTTGTGAGTGTCTTCAATTTTCCTACTTAATGGAGGTAAATTTCCTATCCATACATTTTATAATAAACCAAATGACAAGTATGGAGATATTAGGATACTGGATGTTGAATAACTTTTAATGGTACTGAAAACAAGGAACAGGCAACTGCTAAGCTAAAAAATCAACCAGAAAAAAACACAGATTGGACTACTTTGTCCTCTTTTAGTGTTTAACTTTCCCTTCAGTTTGGAAAATCCTAAATTAACAAATTCTTGCATTTTTCATTCATACTTAGAGAAGTTCTCAGCACAGACTTCTTACAGTTGTTTATCATGAAAGCTCTGTTTTTGTCTCTGCTGCATAATCCAGCTTCTGGAGAACTCTTCTCTAGCCACATGTTTCTGTTCTACTGCATTCAGTATATTTGGAGTCCAAGACTGAAGACAAATATGTTGCAATACAATGAGGAGACTATTTAGTATTCTGAGTAGATACCCACCATACTTTTGAGCAGTAATATTCACTCAATTTAATATGAAAGACCTCAGAAACGATAATTGCACTGTTTGTCATTGATATTTTGTTGTAGGCAGAGGAGAAACATTCCTTATGTTCCCACTTGTTTTTGAGTGTGTCTAGCTTCCTGAAAAGTCTAGGAAGAAGCTAATTATCAGAGATGATTTTATTTCATAATGAATCAGGGCTAAGATACTGGAAGAGATCTTGTTTGTCAAGCAAGCTAATGCTTGATAAGGCAACCTCAGTTTTTTGGTTTTTTTTTTATATCAAAGCATTTGGTATGGTATGCATCTACAGCACAAGTGTATCATAGCTGACATCAATTATCAGAATCATGAATGGTCTGGAACAGGATGGTATTTACAGATGTGGAAAGTGAACAATCTTGTGAAAAATATGCTGCAAAAAATGAAAGTTTCAGAGGAAAATCTCTTTCATTATGCTGTGTCCTGCCTAACCAAAATACCTGTGTAGCCAAGCATTTTGCAAGGGAGAGCTGGTAGTGACATCTACAGTTAAAACTGCCTCGCACTTCCAGGTTTTTTTGCCAAAATTTTAACTGCCCTGACTAAAGTGTTCAAAGCTTGCTGGCTACTTCAGGCAATGAAAATGGTTCAGCAATGCTCAAGAAAGAGTTATGGGGGAAAAAAAAAAAGGTATTTTAACCACAATTATTTGTGGTTATATATTGTCATATATATATATATATAATTTTTTTTTTTTTTTTGAAAGAAGACAAAAAATCAATGTATTTTTTCTTCAATCTGCAATTGGGTTCTTGAATAACCACAGAATTGCCTTTTGCATTAAAGACACACAGACTTGGCTGCAATATAAGACTTGGAAAAAACATTGATATAAGTGGATGCTTTGCTATTGACCAGAGATTTACCCATCAATATCAACCACAGTACTATTAGTGGCAGATGATAACACATTGGATAGAGCCCTTTGGCACAAGTAACAAAGTCCTTCCAGGGATTTCCAGCATGCAGAACAGAAGCCCTGTAGCTACAAGCACTGTAGCTACTGTGCACAGCACTGAGCCCAGGGTAATAAAGCTGTATCATGAGAAATATCAGTTTGAGCCATCATTCTAATGCAGGTTCCAGTAGGCTCTTAACAAAGGCAGAGTGGTCATCCCCAAGTACTACCTGTGACATTGGAAGCAGTTTTTGTGCAATGTGCAGGATGACAATAGATGAGTGTTGAAAAAGATAATTAATGTTCTCTGAAGCTTGGACTAAAGTGTTAAAGACTGTGCTTGAGGAAAAATGCCTTGCGTTGCCAGTTCTGAGCTGACTGCTTAACTGTGCTTTGTTAAGCAGACAAAATGTATTTCATGTCAACATATTTCTACCAGAAATATCCAGGCTTAGAAATAAAGAAGTTAATGATCAGATCAAGAGGTGGTATAAATTGATAGGAAAGACAACACATGGTAGATCAACACCAGCTATACAGATCTTGCCTAAATGTGAGCTAATAGAGTAGAACTACAGCTTCCATGTTCTCACTGAAATTTTGAATTTTACATACCTACCATATTTCTACATCTACTACACACTTTCAGCCACTGAGGATGGTGATATCCAATGAAAATTTTGCCTTAGGACAACCTGAAAAAAACCCACAACAACAAAAAACAAACTCTTTTGTGTGGGTATTCTGACACATAGTAGGTTTGTGGTTCTAAAGTGTTCTGCACTCTGATGTTAGTTAAGAAATAAAAATAGAAGACTCGAGTGACTTTACAAACCTATCAAGGAATGTAGTTGGTAAAGTAATTTTTCTGATTGAGTTAGTTTCTATGAGGAAAGCTGTAATTTTTAGCCAAATACACCAATAGCGTGGTGTGGCTTGCTACCTCTCATGGAGGCAGCCATATTAAATTGTCTGCTTCAGCTAATCACTTCAGAGGTTAAATCATCTTCTACTATATTTCCTGCAGCACTGTGTTTTCAACTTATGTGAATTATTAGCACTGCTCACCTTTTCCTAAACCTTCTAAGTTGCCAAGGTGTAATCTTCAGCACTGACAGACTTTTACATGTACTCTTTTAACACCAGAGCTGAAAAACATTGTCCTGCATTGAGAAGTCCTTTTAAGTGAGGAAAATAATATTTTGCAACAAAGAAAAAGAAATGGAACATCTGTATCTTGTTCACAGCAAAGTAACAAGTCAATTTAAGGACAAGCTGTAAAATTTGAAGTTCCCAGATTCATTCCTAACTTATTCCGAAGTGGTTACGTCACACTTTTTTTCCCCCAGTTCATTGGAAGTGCTGCTGAAGTCAGAAGGATATCGGTGGAGAAATAAGGAGGAAAGTGTCATCATCAGTTGCAGCTTGTTTAGAAGTCTAGTTTGTAAACAAAGTTGTAGCACAAGAAAACATGTAATGCTGGAATTGACCTAGATCTGTGGGCTGACCCTATCACTTAAGGCTCCATGGGGACTCTCTGACCCACTGTATGGCCTTATTTCCATTCCTTCAGATGCAAAGTCCACTTGCTGTTAAAACTGACATTGTCAGTACCTGCAGTATTCTTGCAGAGCCGCAGCCCTGAAAACTTCCTTTGACCACCTTTCTTTCAATGAATGAGAGATATCAGGTCATGTAGGTGACTTCAGTAAGTGTGCACGAGAACAAAGTAAGGCCTTTTGTAAAGAAACTGTACTTTCACTAATTCTGAGATAATACTCCTTGTCTGCATTTCACGTGGTTACTTAAACATTTCAAGTCTGTATATTTTGCTTTTTGTGTGTGTGTGTGTGGTTTTAAAAAAATAATAGGCTTGAATTTAATCCTGGAACAAAATGCCTTTGATAGATCAACCATGGCATATTGTCATGCAGAAGCCATTCTTGTGGGTGAAGGAGAAAAGAAATTATGAGAAAAGGCAGATATCATTAAGATCCAGAATACTATCTACACTTAGAGCTGTTGCAAGCTCTACAGGCCTGAACTCAAACCACACAAGTTTTCTAGTGAGAGTCAAATAGTGTTTGTTAGCGAGTAAGCCATTACTCATCACTGGAATTAAAATAATTGTCATTATTACTTTTATCTTTTATAACAATTAACATATCCCAAAACCAACCAAAAAAACATGCCACTCATCACCAACAGATAAGAAAAAGACATGAAGTGTATGTAAACCTTCACATGTACACATGCAAATCATAGAGTCGCAGGGGTTAGAAGGGACCTCAAGATACCGAGTCCAACGCCACTGCTAAACCACATACCCTACAACAGGTTGCACAGGTAGGTATCCAGATGAATCTTGAATTCATTTCCGTAGAAGACTCCACAGCCTCTCTTGGCAACCTGTTCCAGTGCTCTGTCACATATCCATTTCATTTATTTAGAGACAAGTACTTCTGGAATGACAAACAAACCTTTCTTCCCTAGCCCCGTGTTCATCTCATGTTAAATCTGATGTCCTCCAACTTCATTGGCTGTAACTACTGCTCTGGCATTCATCCAGCTCATGCGCTTCTCATTCCTGTTCCTTTGGTATTTTCTTTATGCTCTTCCTTTGGCACGATACACCTTACCTAAGCCTTATCTGTAGGCTCACTTCCCTTCATATATTTCTGAATACCTACTTTTACTGCCATGCCTGTGAGGAATTTCTAATTGAGTAGACACAAGCAAACAAAAACATCCGCTTAGAATAACACTTACCTCAGTGACTGAAAACTCTCAGAGAGAAGGTGTGCTGTGCTGATAGGCAGTCCCAGAAATCATATCATTGTTGCTCTCGCTCTCTTCACCTCCTTTCCATGGCAGCTCCAGGAGCACCATGTCAGCTCTCAGAAGCAGAACAATCTCTATCATATCGTGGTACAACATTTAGCACCAATAGAGTTCGTGCTAGAACTTCATAGTCTGTGGTACAGAATGATAAAAACTTTGTCAATTGCCCACGGAAGCGCTTGCTGCTGTGCTACCAGACTGAGTAGTTCATGGCAATTCAACACCTTTACAACAGTCTAGCAAAATCAGTTTAGGTTTTTCTATGCTTGATTTCTCAGCTCTTTCTCCACAGCTTCCTCAGTTTACCCGAGGTCATGTCCCCAAGCAGGGCCAGCCATCCTTCCTTACTCCCAAGTGCTATCACAGGTTTGGTGTCAGTGGCACTTTGGGGTGGCCCAGCCCAAGGCCCTGGGAGGCCAGTCTCAGCAGTTTGCTAATGATGAAGTCCAAAAGGGTGGCTGCAGACAAGGAACCTGCTCTGGCTGTAAAACTCTGCACTTTGTTTGTCTTTGTGGGCGTTTATGTTTTTCCTAGATGCGGAGGAAAAGACTTGTCACAAAAAGCCAGAGGAGGGAGGGAAAACTGCCACTGGGCACGCAACGACAGCAAACAGTGGCACAGGGAGCAGGGTGTTACACGGCCAACAACGTGGCAGCGGTCTGCAGTCAGGTTGGGGAGTATCTGCAGAGGGGATCCCACATTCCTGACCATGGATGCACCCAGAGGGACCGAGTGCATGCCAAGCAAGCCGAGCTGCTTCTTGCTTCAAATAAACCTCAAGTGGTCCCACTGCAATTTGGAGACAAAAATTCGAAGAAAAATCATAATGATATAAAAAGGCAGCCGACCTCACAGCGTGATTTAAGGCACTGCCAGATCTCAGGATTACCACAGAAGACTTTACGAGGCGCTTTTTGCTCTGGACCCTTTCTTTGATGATCGTCTGTGGACTCAGATGGTCGGCTCCCGCAGTACCGTAACGCTGTCTGCAAACCTTCCCCTCAGTCTGACAGAACCGTGGTTCCTCCATCCCCCTCCCCAGTCTTTACTCTCCCCGGCGGTGCATTCCCGCCGAGCTCGGAAGGCCTGGCCGCAGCAGGGAACGCGGGGAGGGGGGGCTTCCTTCACGCCCATTCAACCGCCTTTTAAAAACACGTAGTAAACACAGTCACGCCGGCACGGGCATCCTCGTCGAAACACCGCCCACGCAGACAGTCTGCGAGGCGAACGCGTGTATATACATACACATGCCTGCGTGTTCCATAGGAATAGTGCGCGGCCGTGCGTGGGGGCGGCGCGGGCGGAGCTCCGCGCCCGCGGCCCCGCCGCCCACTTGCCATGCGCTGCCCGCGGCCCTGCGCGGCGGCGGGCGGAGGTGGCCGCAGCCGAGGGTGGGGAGCGCGGTCCGGCTCGGCCCCGCTCTCCCAGGCGGCGGCGGCGGGGGTTCCCCGTTTCCCTCCCTCTCCTCTCCGCGCTGCGGGGGCTGAGCCGGGCGCGGCGGCGGGGGAGGAGGGGAGGGGAGGGAAGGGAAGGGAAGAGAGGAGGAGCCGCCGCCGCTGCGAGGCGGGCGGGCTGCACACACACAGGCAGAGTGTGCGGAGGAGGAGGAGAAGGAGGAAGGAGGAGGAGGAGGAGGTCGTCGCCTCGGCGCGGCCCCGGCCACCCTGCGCAGCGCAGCGCGGCGGGGCCGGCGGCGGCGCGCGCCCCGGCGGCTGAGGTAAAAGGCGGCGGCGGGCTGCGCGCGGGGCGGCCGTTGGGGGCGGCGGGCGGCATCGCGTCCTTCGCGAGGAGCGGCCCCACCGCTCCGGGCCGTAACCTTGGGCTCCCCGCCGCGGGCTCCGGGAGGTTCCGGCGGCCCCGGCCTCGGAGGAGGAGGACGTCTGCAAATCTGCAAACATACGTCTGTCTGTCCGTACGTGTGTGAGACTTCCTATGGGTGTGCGTGCGTGCGTGTGTGACTGGGGATCGAATTCTTCTCCTCATCCTCGCTGCCAGCTGTGAGGCTCCTTGTAGTTTCTGAGCGCATCCGGATTTTGTCAGTGCTGGGCGGCGTGACAAATGTTTCTGTGTAGTGAAGTATAACTTTCTTGTGGGTTATTTTTCTTGTGTGTTTTTTTTTTTTTTCCTTTTTTTTTTGTTGTTTCCCGCTTTTAGGGAAAAAAAAAAGAAAAAGAAAAGCAGGCTCACCTTTGAAGGCTCTGCTTTGTTTTCTTTCAGATGAATAGAATGGTCTCTCGGGATGCGGTGCCTGGGTTGCCTGTGTATGCGTGTAATTGGCGCAGATGTTTGAAGCTGCTTTCTTAGGGGTAACTTCCACAGCAAGGTGCAAAGCAGTGTTTCCATTTTGCCAGGAAGGCTGTGCACCCTCTTTGAAGCCTGACTTTGAATTATGTGCAGTCAGACACCTGTTACTTGATGCCGGTTATCCTTCCCTCTTGCACTTATCCAGCCTTGCTTGTCTTTATTTATTATCTGAAAATACTTAGCAGGTATTCCTTTATGCTGGCATCTATTAGAAACCCAGGAATCTAATGCGTTTCTGAGCTGCATAATGCATCTTTGTTAGGTAATACTTGCTTAAAGGAGAATGATTTGGGGAAGTTACAGAATAATCGTCATCTCTTGAGGAGTTTATATAACATTGAAGTGCCTATGGGGATGCATCCGTAGGAAAGACAGATGGGGCTATGCGGAATCAAAGTCTTTCATGCCATAAATTCGTAGTATGGTGCAAAACGTTTTCGTAATACATAAGGGTTGTTTGCAGCATCGAACTTGATGTTGCACTGTGCAGTCTTCCAATTAATAAACTGAATTAATGTATAGCACGGAGAAAACATGTTTCTGATTCTGCAAAAGGATGGAGAAGATTCTTTCGTAACACGTTTGTGTTGGTGGTTGGATTCTGTCGTTTACTAGAACAGTTTGTGCAAGCTGGCAGCATTGCTACAGGTTATTTTCTCTAACTTCTGAAAGTGTAACGCCAACAGTATTTGCAGGCTTCCTCTGGAGGAGGGATATCTAATATTGCTGTGCACCACAAAATAATTATTATTATGTAGAGCTGAGCAATTTTGTATTATAAAGGGACAGTTTCTTAATATGAGTTGGGAACAGACTCATCTCTCTCTGTGGTTGGTAACTTTGTAAAGTAATTAAAATAAATTACAGATTTCAGGGATGAGAATTCTCTTCCCTAGCTATTATTACTGCTACTCTTGCTTCAGATGTCAGTTTTGATTCATCTTGTGATGATATCACTAAAAACCAGGTATTAATGTGAAAGTCAAACCTCTGGTGAAAATATAACTGCGTGTAGCTGTCAAAATAAAGTTTTGAGATCTGATTTGATTGCTGGATGTGGGTACGTACTTGGTAGAGTAACAATGCCTTTTATTTTATAGACATGCACCCACGCAAAGGAGCTTTGTTCTAAAACAGTATTCTCTGTCATGAATTTATGCATAACGTACGCTCTGCTTTTTCTTACTGTGCAGAGAATAAAGAACCTTGAGAGGGAAGAGGTAAATACCAGAAGGGGGGAAGAGAGAGATTTCAAATGAATTTCCCTTACTGACACAAGGAATACCTCACTGTTATATGCCACCCAAAATCACTAGTTGTGTTCAGCTTTCCCATTTTTCTAAAATAATGGTGAGTTGTTGTGGCTTGGTGTATGCTACTGGCTTCCACTGTGGACTTTGGCCATTTGTTGCACTAATATCTGGCTACGATGATGAACCTGGGGCTGTGTTGTGAGTCTGTCAGATACTTGCTACAACTTTATAGAAAGTAATGACTTCATTTTCACCAGGTTTACATACAATGTGTTGAACATTTCCAGGGTTTAATTTCCATGCTGCTTGAAAAAGAAATGTAAAATAAATCTTTTTTTTTTTTTTTTATCTTGTCACGTTTAGTGGTTCCCTTCCATTGTTTAGTCATTTACTTTCCCTCAGTGGTTATAACAGCTCAGTTGCTATTCCTTCCTGTTCATAATTTGCAGAAGAATCAAGTCTGAGAACGCTGTTTTCAGATTTTCCTTAAAATTGAATGAATCCCTTTTCCAGTAGAAAAAGAGAAAGGGACAGGAATGATTATCAGAGCATTAAAAACAAGAACAAAAACTTAATCCAGGTATTTTACCTAAGAGTGACTAGTTACGAAAATTGATACATTATTCCTTTTTGGAGAAGATTTCCTCAATAGTTTTAATTATCAATCCTATTAGATTTAGAAAACTATTGGAAATTTTTACTTGCAAAGTATTCTACATTAAAAATCTCTGGTTGGTTGTTGGTGAGGAAATCATTATGAAAGGTTGCATAAGCGTTATTTTAGTGTGGCTAAGCCTGGGCTTATTTCCATTCTCTAATAACTAGGTGCATTGTGCCACTTCAAATACTGCAAATTTGATAGCTTGATTTCATTTACTAATTTTGCAAGATGTTTTATACATTCAGTTTTGGGAATGCTCTTGGATGTCATCAGAGGTTGCATGTGGAGATGTTTGTGATGTAAATTATTAACTCTTTGAACGCTTTGTGGTGGTGTGTTTTCAGGGTTGATTTTTTTTTTTTTTATTGTGCTGTTTAGGATTTCTGAGAGATGCTTGTGTACCATTTACCACGTGAAGATGACTTGTGTATACGTCGAAGGCTTAGATAAATGTTATTCAGGCTTTGAGAGCAGGCTTTGTAGTCCTCTTGCTGTTGCAAAAAAAAAAAAAAAAAAAACGAAACAAAAAAAGCCCAACAAACTATCTGTGGACTTGACTTTGCTGTGTGATGTTAGACTTGTATTAACAAAGATCTGATTTGTAGTGAGTTTAAATGTATGGGATGTCAACAGTATAAATACAAGAAGTACTGTGCTTTGACGTTAACCTGCTTTGCTTATGTTCTCGCCCAGTGAAGAGTAAGCTGTAAAAATCTGTTTCACTGTTTCTTACCCACCTTAGTGGTTTCTGGAAATTTTGTAACTATGGATAAAGCCACTTGTAAAACTGTAACACAACAGTTTCCCATCCATTTTGGAAGTAACTTTCTATGCCTATTAGTAACTTCCATGTTTGACAAGGACATACTTTACTTATCTTGTAGCGCATAGAGCAGAGATGCAACTTTAGAAGTATCAGGACCGCCATTTCACAGCTGTTCTCACAGCAGTAATGCCCAAACTCTGTAGTTTTGAGAGCACGGAGTAATTTACATGAGGCAGAGAAATAGTGCAGCACTGTTATGACTTCAGAGATTCTTATTCAGCACCCTTCTGGATAGTGACTTGTTGATCTTGTCCCTGTAAAGATCCTGCTGGGATCTTGGAGTAAAACTGGTACTTACATTCACTACTTCTGAAGACCTACATCAGCTTATGTAAGGTGGTAAGGCACTGTGGTTTCTTTTGTCAGTTTGTCTATAGGAGCCATTTTCCATTAGGCTGTTAATAGGATGGTGCAATATCTAGGTATCATCCGCTCAATGAAGAACTCATTAAAGCTGCACCCAGGCAACAGCAAAAGCCTCTCGCCTTCTGGAGAAGAGTGAAACAAAGTTCTCTCTATCGTTCTGCTAAAGAGCCCAGCCTTTAGGCAGATTGTTGTGAAGTCATACTGGCCTGTTTGCCTTGTTACTAGGTTTTCATGAATGGTATTTGCCAATGTTTTTAATGCTTTGTTTCACCTTTGGAGTTCTAAAAAACACCAGTCAGTTTTTTTGTGGGAGGGAACCAGGGAGAAGTGCAGGTGTCAATGAAAGGCTATGCTGCCATAATGTAATCTAGCTGCTCCTTAAGAAGGAAAGATATGGTTTCCGTGTAGTAAATCCACTTGGCTCTTTAATGGCTTAAGTTTCTGTCACTAGTTAGGCCATTGCTTTGACCTCTCTGTTGCTTTGCACTCTCCCATTGCTAGCAACTGGTGTTCAGCTCAGCCTTAATCCTATCCCATCAATGTCTATGAGCTGGTTGTAGAGCACCAGAGATCACAAAATCCATGAGTATGGGGATGGAAAGGTCTCATTTATCCTCTTGTAGAGACCAACTTATTGAATAAGTAGATAAATTTGACTAAATCTGATTTATCAGACTTTCTGCAATTGCTGTGTGCTTTCTGGTTGAAGTTCTACTCCACATCCAGACAGTTTGATATTACATCTCTCCTCTTTCTTCTACCTGTTACAGTAAGAAATGATGGAACCTCAAATTAAGAATGTGATTGACTGCTGTCATATAGATAAAGTTTTGGCCTTGGATTTCATTTTGTATGGAAGCTATTATCTTACCATAATGGTGATGAAACTCTACCCTTGGAG